CTTAACATCTCAGAGGGTCCGTAAGCCTGCATTCAGACAGTTGTATTAAATGTCATAATTGGTTTAAGCCGATCTTCGTTGCTGGTTGACCAGACCTTGCTATGTCACAAAAACTGGTTTAGGAGTTATGGCATAAAGTTCAAAGTTTCCAACTTTTGTGCCGAGTTGGTATATGAGTTCACGAAGCAGACCGAAGACGCGAAATCGGCAGACACATCCACGGATGCGCAAATTTATGTTCTCTAATTGGCTACGTCTTAGACCCTGTCTCCCAGGTGTGAAAGGAGCTCCCGCAGTTTATGCCTTTCGACTATGCTTCTATGACATTTATACACAGTCTGAACGGAGCCCAACAGTCTAAAAGGAGTTGGCTTAAGTGGCCAGAAAAAGCAGTTATATTTGCATCTTATACAATATTCTTTGCTTCTACACTTAGCTTTGTCTTAGTGCGTGGCATCTTGCATTTCCGGTGTGAAATAGGATTCAGATATAATTTTCTTTCCCTAAAATATGCAGCTAAAGATGCAAACAAATGCGCGACGAAATAGCGCCAAACTGTAGAAAAGCTAGCCACCTAGTTTTGTATTGTAGGATGCACAATTTCGTATTTTCTTCAGGAACACAGTCTGCCCTTTCCCGTCACATGTGGCCCAAAGGGAACGAAGAAGGGACGAGGAAGGAGATACCAGGAGGAAGGTATCCCCTTTCGCAAGCTGGTCCGCCGCCGCAATTAGCAGAGGTAGCAACCTTAACCTTCAAGATGACGCGCAACCTCTAAACACCCAAAAATAAACGCATCGAATGCCACCAAATCCTCATTAACAAAACGAGCCCCCTCCCCTCATTGTTTATTTATAGGGAACTCCGGGGGAAAAGGGGACTCGTCTCGGGATCCTCGTGCATGGCCCCTGGAAGGGCCCTCGAAAAAATGACTGGCAACTAAGAATAGAAACAAGCACAAAGCAGGTGAAAAACTTCTACAGAGAGGTGCGATGCACCGAAAGCGAAACTGACGCAAGTTAAAGATCGAACATGGCAAAGCGTTCTCCCAAAATCGAATTCGTGCTCAGTGCAGTAGACCTCCAAAATATCCAAACCAGCTGAGTTCATCATTTCTCTGATATTCATAGAATAAGCATAATTTGGCTGTTTTGCTTCTGTAGTGTTGATACTTGATCTAATTCTGTGATACTAACTGAGAATTTTGACTGTTATTAAAAAAGCACATGATGAACGGCTGTTTTATTTTATTTCTTAAAAGGGTGTACCTGAAACTAATGGTTAAAAGAAGAGAAAATAATGAAAATCTGAAAAATACCACGCAAAGTATACGGCACAACGCTTGAACTATTTATTTATTTTCATACTACTAATCATAAAAATTGCATTACTTTTGGGGGAAAAAAATTGTTTATTTTAGCCCCTTAACTGTCCCTTTATTTTCCGGTTTCCATATAAAAATTATTCATTTTTTTTTTTATATATACTTTTAATTTAGGCAACAAGACATAAAAAATTATACAAATATTTTCCCGAAATTTTTGCATTTTTTAAAATAGTTTTTTGACGCAAAATAAATGATAAATAATTATCTGAATTATGAAATCAATGCTGATTCGAAAGAGACGTAGCATAAAACTCGCTTTTTCTGATAACAAAACATCGTGAAGGTCACTAGCATAGCACATTGCTAGTTTACTCGGAATAAATAAAAACGACTGTCATGAACCATGAATCACAAGTTAACTCATGAAAATTATTTTCGATAAATTCTCGATAACCGAGTTAACTAGAATAACTAAGCAAGCGGTTAAAAAAAAGCACTTAATTTTGAATGTATAAAGAGTAAATATACTAAATATAAGCAGAGGGACGGAATGAACATATAAAATAGATAAGTCTTTAATTTTCACAAAACTGATACACTCGAAAGAATGTATCGAAGCATCTTAAATGCGCAAAAAAAATCGAAGCATCAAGAAGGACTTTTGCGATCGTGACGAAATTTGGTATGCAAAAACATCTTGATCGAACAAGCAAATGATCAAAGTTTCAAGGCAAAAGAACAGGAATTGCGATCAAAGCGCGCATTTCTACTGCGCAATTCGCAAAGTATAAAACCACAAACAAAAACGGATTTTTTTAATTTATTTATTTCATTTATTTATTTATTTATTTATTTTTGTTGTTGTTGTTGCCATTATAATTCCGTACAGAAGCAACTAAAGATGCCATTACGACAATATCGAAGACCTTACAGACAACTAAGCGACTTTGAACGTGGTCGCATTGTAGGGTTGCGAAGATGGGTTGTCATACCGAGCAATAGGCCGCCACCTGCAGCGTACAGACACCGCTGGGCAAAGATGTTGGCAGAATGGTTGCTACAAGGAAATTGCCGACAAAATGAAGGCTCTGGAAGGCCAAGGAGCACAAATGCTAGGTAAGATAGGATAATTGTTCGCCAGGCCCGAACCGCCCAACGGTATCATTGTCGACTATTCAACGCACTACAGCCACGTCTATACCTCCCGTGGTACCGTCCACTATCTCACGACGCTTGTCTGAGGCGGGGTTACGCTCACAGAGGCTTTAAGACGTTTGCCTTTGACCCCACAACATTGGTTCAAGTTGCGCAGCTGCGCGACATTTCGGCAATAGCCGCACAGACTAGACTAGATCCACAAACATTGGTGGAGTCATCTGGAGTGGTGTCTCAGCCGATCATCATGGCTGTTATCAGACTGGCATTATATAGTGTTCAGCGATGAATCCCGCTTCACGCTTGAAGCAGATAACCATGTTCGTGTCTGGAGAGGACGGGGTCAGCGGTCCCAATCAGCCTTTGTTTTACAAAGGCATGCAGCCATAACCCCTGGTGTGAGTCGCTATTTCTTATGACAGCAGGTCATCTTTAGTCATCCTTCATACATCTTTAACAGCTCAACGACGTGTTGATACCATCCTGTGGCTGGTTGCATTACCTTTCATGACCCGTCATCCTGGGGCCATTTTCTAACAAGATAATGTCAGGTCACATGCCGCTCGCATATCTCTGGAGACTGTCTCCGTGCGGTTCATACTCTTCCTTGGCCAGCAAGGTCACCAGACCTTTCACCAATCGAGCATGTCTGGGGCATGGTAGACTGCCAGATTCGGCCACCACAAAATATCGCAGATCTGGAGCGACAACTGATGAATGCTTGGTAGAATATCTTGCAGGATGGCATTAGCAACCTCTACCACTCCTTGCCTTGATGAATTCAAGCATACATCGCCGCCAGGGGCGGTTCGACCAACTACTAATTTGAACACTTAATGGGTGATTGTGAGCCGTGAACAGGTACTATGACCTTGATTTTTTAATTAGTTTATTATCTGCGTATGAGCTATACACATATTCAGTTTATATGTGTTCACAACCACTTCCATTATGGTGCTTCGATTTCTTTGCAAAAGAGTGTATTTTTTAATTTTAAGAATCTCAAGACGTGAATATATGCGTCAGCTGAAAAATTTTTGTAATGAAAGTATATATCTAGGACCAACGGTTTCGTAAATAGAGGCCAGATAAGGTCTATTCTTTTTGCGAACACTGTGTATGTAGATACCCAGACGAATTGAAATAAATAATTTTTTTTTAGCTGTACTACACGTAATTATTTATACTTTTAACTAATTAAAATACTTTTTAAGTGTTATTTGAAAAATCATCCCTCAATTAGTTCAAGTAAACGAAATCCTGCTGCAATTCAATAACCTTCAATGTATTGCATAAAACCCGATAACGAAACAATCAAATTAAATAATGGTTTTGTTAAAGATAAAAAGAATAGCGATTCAAATTGATATGGAGTTCGCAAACTCACATTTGAGGGTTTGAATTATTTATTGGAAGCAAGGGCAGAGTATCTCAATTTGTATTTCTCGAATTCAGATCAGTTGATGCGAGAATGATGTTCAAACGAAAGTACGCATAATATCTAATCCTATTTTGTTAAATTTCTGATAATTAATGCAATCCTTCGACTTTTCTTTCCACCGCTGCGCCCACAAAGAGCCGATTATAAAAATGGTTAATTAAACCTAATTTAGAATATCTCAAAAGTTGCATTTCCTTGGAAATATCGATTTCGCACATACGGCAAACGTTTAATAAGTAAAAATGGTAATAATTTAAAGGCACTTTTAATTTATTATTCATTTCTGGAATACGCATCGAAACAATGCTAAGAGCACGTTTAATTACACCTACCAACAATTAGTGAATATACATATACGTTTATTTAGTTATTTATTCCGATCATTAGCGGTTTATTTTGCGATAACTGACGCTTCGTTTTCAATAAGCGAAGCCTATTTCTTGCTTCTGCTGCTAATTATCCAACCAATGTTGTAATTATTTCTGTTCCTCGAACTAGATGCCAACTTCAATTCCAACAATGAATTAATTTCCGTTGGATGTTTTTCATACGGGTCATCACAAACGAGCTTCGTGACAGAATGAGTTAAAAATATTTTTAAAAAGGGGAGGAAAAAAACCACAAGTACCCAAGATCCATCAAACTTGCTTAAATACTTTAATTTTAATTATTATTTAAGGTATTAATTAACAGATTAATTTTTAGCGTATTAGATAAGTTTAAAACCACTATTACGTTTAAACCGATATTAGTTTAAACCAATTTGTACATTGCAGAATGTCTGCAATATACAAATCGCCGTCTATTAAAAGCAATGGCTTAATAAACTCAAATTCGTTTGGAACGGAAATTATTTTAATAACTGGTGGGTATTGTGTATGAAAACATGAATATAAATCTAAAATTAAAGATCATAAAGCACTGTTTGTCGGGACTTTATATCTACAAATATTATGATGCATAGGTTGGCAGTACTTCCTGTTTTCCCATGATACGATTTTTGCTCGTAGTGAAAGCTATAGAGCCACATTTCAGGTGATTTTAAGTAGAGTAAAAAGATTTATTTCTAAACCTTACCGTTTTGGGCTTTGTCACATGCATTACATAAGTTCACGAATGAATGAAATGATGCTTGAATATTCCATGGCGGAGCAGAGTAATTAGAAAAACCTTAAAAGTAAATACAATTTGAATTAATTGCAATTAGGCAACGAAAAATTATAATTAAAAAAAAACGAACTATTACCGGTACGAAGGTATATACTGAACATGGTATTATAAATATCTCCGAAGAATTACAACAATAGTTACAAGTCTATGGCATTCAACCAGTGACAATTTTACACTAATAACCCCCCTTCTCCCCCACGCCCAAAAAAGTCTAAAAGGTTTCAGATTTTATTGGTCGATCAAAAGGCTTTTTTACATTCTCGCTTGACCTTGCAGTCCTCAAGTCTGCTGTTACATTCATTCCTACTAACCCCCTTTTTTGTTAACCTTTTTAGCGTTACTATTAAGCGCCATTTTCTTCGCATTTACGCCGTATACAACTCAACAAGAAAAATTGCAAAAAATTTCAAAGCAGCATAACAGTATACGTTTAGAATTCCCGATGCAGCATTAAGTGTTGGCATTTTTGTTTTTTTCCCAGTCTTTTCTCAGTTTATCATACCAATGTTCAGTTTCCTTACTAAGACGCCTTTACAAAACCTTTTTTGTCTTTTTATTATTAATGTTTTGTGTGTTTACTTTATTTACTAAATATCACGTTGTTGGCGCTTACGTCACATAAAATTCAACTGCAAAATCACAAAATATTTAAAAGAAGCAGATCTTTACAGTTTCCGACAGACATTTTCGAGCGCTGGAGATAAAAATGTTTTATTCCACACAGTGTTGCCACTGCTCACTTACAAAATATGAAATAGATAATAAATTCGAAATTCCAGATTTGGGCTTCCAGGTTCACATGATACGTTACCACAGAATTCTAAAACTGTCATTTTATTTTGAACTCCTCAATGTAGACGATATTGTACAGGTAAGAGAAAGAGAGAGAGAGAGAGATTATGCAAAAAACAGTTGCATAATATGCCGCATTTGAAATAGCTTCTATAATAAATGGTATAAACATCATTAGCATGATTATAAAACATTATTAAGGAGTACAGAATGCATCACATTTCTATATATATTGCCCGAAATATAATAAAAAGATGAATGAAAGATTTAACTGGACGGGACTCCTCTTTCAAACTCAATAACAGCTCCCCTTTCAAACGCCAAGAGATTTTTCTGCGGAGCTGTTTTGTTCCCACTAGTAAAAATAAATTTTTATTTTTTTTTTTTTATTTATTTATTTATTTTTTTTTTTTTTTGCTTGATTAACGAGTTTAAAAAAATTTAAACTAAGGTTTTACTTCGATCATATGTATTTTGTAAGTGCGTAATATCCCGTAAAGGAGTATAATAACTTGGAAAACCATGAAGAAACAAACAATTTTCATTTTATTTGACGATACATTTATCAAGGAAAAACAGAAAAAATAATAATAAAAAAAAATTTATGTAAACATTTCGGCAACTCAAAAATGAATTTGCCATTAAAAATATCAAAGATCATACATGTACTTCGTATTTTTTTTTAAATAAAAATAATATCTTCGTAGATACATTTTTTTTTTAAAGCAGGAGGGATGAAAAATGAGAAATATCGTCGCTGGGACTCGAACCATGGAGCTCTCGAATACGCGCCGAGTGTGCTGACCATTACACAACGAAGGCGGGAGAAATAACTTAATACTCCCTCCTTTTAAAGTTCGAATGGAGGTTAAGGGGCCCAATCGCCAAATCCTGGTGGTGGAGAATCATCATCCGCCACCTTTTTTTTTAGTTCGGGCGCCACTGTAGGGACATTAGAATTTTTTCGATGTCAGGAACGTGAAAAATGAGCTATGTCCTCGTCGGGACTCGAACCTCGGACCTCTCAAATACGTGCTGAATGTACTCACCATACGCCACGAAAGCATGCTAAGGAGGCGGGAGAAATACTTTATAGCTTGATAAATAAAAATAATATCCAATACATAAAACTTAAACTTTATTGTTGAATACTAAAATTCAAAAGAATTTCAATTTTAAAAGCCTGTAATTTGTTATAACCCAAAGAGGCGTTAGCCCAAAAGGGCTATTAGTCTCGAAATGGCATTTTGCGTCGAATTACTAAAAGCGTTGAATCATTTTTCAAATTGTTGCCATCAAATATTATCGACCGACTTTTAACTAAGTTTTGATTAAAAAACTCAACGATTTTAGAGCGAGCAGGGGTAGCACTGTTCGGAATAAAACACTTTTATCTCCACCTCGCGAGACTGCCTATCGGAAATAGATAGGCATTTTAAAGTATTTTTAACCCAAAGGCCGTTAGCCGAAAGGGCTCTCGAAACGTATATGTGCGTGTAAATAAAACAAGTCCCTTTGGGCGTAATATAAAATCTGAAAGCTTTCAGACTTTTAATTTTTATTTAATTATTATTATTATTATTATTATTATTATTTTTGTTTGTTTGAAAAAAAGTGAGGATACAAAAATAAAAAGAAAAAATCTGATGTGTACACCACATGACTTCCTTGTACGGAATACTAAATTATACGCATTTTTTCTTGCATTTCATTTAAACTTATTGGATTGAATTAAATCTACTTCGCCGACAGCGCATAAACCAGAATAGAATAAATGCATTCTTTAAAATTCACTCTAGTATTTGTTTACCATAGCGACACTCTGGCGCTAAATTCACTTAACAGTATTAATAATTATATAAGAGTTGACTTATATAATAATTATATAACGGAAACTAAGTTAACTGTTATATAATCCAACAATTTATATAACAGTTAACTTATATATTTCGTTCATATTATAACTCATAATGCACAAAATTTATATCATTTAAAGAATAGAATTATCTAATCGTTGCCACATGTTCTATTCAAATACTATAATAAAGCTAGAATGAATGTATAAAAGTTAAGCAAATAAAACAAAAAAGAAACAGTTTATCACAGACGATTGAGTATTTCTCATTCAATTAATTCAGTTCTCACTTCGCAAGAAGGCAAAAATACATAAAAACTCAAAATATCTATATTAAAAATTACGAAGTAAATCTTAAACGCTTATTTCCTCGAAAAAATTCCAGAAAGAATTAAGCATGATTTTAATTGTCAATAATAAATGAATGCGTTATCTTTGTTGTTGCGAAGCTAAGTTTCTCTAGATTGGCAACAAATCCACTAGTCTCCTGTTTCAAATGTAAACATCAATGGCCGCCATAAAAAAAAAAAGGCTTAGCGGCAATTAAACAACTTTAAAATTGTTGATAATTCTAAAAATATTGCATACATATTTACTAAAGGCATAAAAAGCTTAACTGGAAGATAAAAACAACATAATACAATCATTTTTAAAGCAAAAAAGGTACAATTTACAAATATATAAGAGTAAAGAAACTGAGATCACTGAGCCGGGTAACAGAGTGGATATATATGTAAATATATTTATATACGTTTGGTGCGGCCGATCGCAACCAAAATACGAGGTGCACATCTACATGTTATAGCAGTCCTATATACAAAATTTCAACGCTCTGAGGGTACTCGTTTTTGAGTTATGCGAGATACGTACGTACATACGTTCGTACAGACGCCACGAAAAATTCTCTTCAGAATTAATTTTAAAGCAGTTTTATAATTTTTTTGAAGAAAAAGAGTATTTTATTCTGTCCTTACGTACAGATATCACGCAAAAACATCGTTAAATTGCATTCGATAGCGGTCAAAATGGATATTTTCGTTGAAATATGCTGCCTCAAACTTTTCGCGATTACAATACTTCCTTTTTAGTTCGTACAAGGAAGTAAAAATGTTAAAAACTTGTTTTGTTATTTCATTAATATTAAAAAAGAAAGCTATGCAAAGAGTTCCATTCTGTACACTACTTTGCAATTCCTTAATGACGAAGATCTTATTTTTAATGAAGCTGGCCGTTATGCAAGAATAGAAAATGGTTAGAAATTTTGCAAACCAGCAGTTACTTTATATTAGAAAATTACTTTATTTACTATACCTGTGGTAGATAAGAACAGCTATAGCATATTATTCAAAAAAAGTGTAGATAAATTGTTCCTTTAAAATACGTACCTTGCGCTATAATCGAAAACACACTTTTATAAGATGGATTATAAATGAAAAGATCTTATTCATTCTTGACTGGCCTGTTTGTATTTCACCAGATCTCTTCGAAACTGGAAGCAATAACAGCTCGAAAAAATTTCAAAAGCATTCATATCGCGCGTACTACTTAAGAGAGATGTTGCAACGCTGTTGAAGACATGTGAGAAAATTTTAAATATATGTAGTCAAGAAGTTCGCAACAACACTTTTTCCCTCCTGATAAACAACAGTAGATCATCACAAATAAAAACGATCGAGTAAATTCATATGAAACTTTTACAATTACATTTAAATGATCATCGCCTAACAATATTCAAATTGGACCTAATCCATTTCGAATAATTATTCTCATCGATGTTGAATCATGAGAATAATTATTCGATTACTATATTACTATTATTTTATATTTTATGCTCACTTAATTGTCGGTTCTAACACAGCAGAAATGCATCTTTAGAATTGGGGGGGGGACACTCTGACTCGTTACGTCATGTTTAAGCTCGTTATCATAAATAATGAAGAAAGAGCTGGATTACTAATACAAAATATTCGCATTAAATTAATTCTATTCACATATTGTCATTTAATGCGGATTATATAAACCCAATACGAAATGCAAGAAACAGCATCTTTGAATTATTATTATCCATCGCTTCTTAAAGACACCGCCTTTGTACATTCAAGAGAGTAATAACAAAAGTCTCAAAAACTTTAAATATAACTCTGCTTCCATTTATTCCAAAGAGAGAAAGGCTTTTTATAACCCAGTGGGATGACTTATTCCACTTTTCCCCATTCCGATTCTAAACCATAGGTATATATTGGAGGCCTTCAGGAATTTCAAGGGCAAGGAATGTCAAAAAGTTATCTTTTTTTTTTTTTTTTTTTTTTTTTTTGTGTGTGTGTGTGTGTGTGTGACTGGAAGAATACTACGC